TGGGGGGGGGTGTAGTGAGGGGGGGTGGGGGGGTCTGATAATGATGAGGAATATCAAACATAATGCGGCCCAAGTAGCTGCCCCGTCCAATTTGTCCTCGTCGCGCGCTGATCGCTTCCTCCGTGTCCCAACAAACGCCGCAAGGACGGCGAGGCGTGCCGACACGGGGAATACAAATGACGACGTGTTGGAAGAGAAGGGAGCGAAAATGTGTGATTAAAGGTGTGTGTGGGGGGGGGGGGGGGGGGGGGGGGGGGGGAACCAAGACGGACCAAGTGGAAGGCTCAGTGAAGATTCCTTCACGCAGCTTTGCCAACACCTCATATCAGGCAGTGAAAAACTTGGTGACAAATTATTAACCTGAATAGCATCATTGCTTACATTATTTTTGAAATTATTGTTACCAACCCCCCCCCCAAAAAAAAACAATCCAATGCTGTTAAAAGTTGTGTTTTTCGTGTTCATTCAAATATGACTTGGGCAACTATGTTATGAGGCGAAAAATCTTCTCTAATATTGAAAATCTAATTTTATCTTTGAGAAAAAAAACTGTTGTCATGTTTCACAAATAAAATCCGATTTCCTCAAGGAAAAATTTGCAACCTTGACAAGAACAAAGATGCCTTTTCTCGTCGTAAAAAATTTGCAAACTTATGAGAACAAAAACCACATCGCAAGTATATTCTATTCGAGCCATCGTGACACCATGTTAGAAAGTCCCTTTTTTTTCAAATTGCATTTCATAAATTCAACAATATTCTTAGAAATATTGTGAATTTAGTCACACACACACACACACACACACACAAAAAAAGGACATCTTTTGTTGGTGAACTATTTTAACCCTTTTCTGCACCCTGTAACATGATAAACCGTCCTCTGGAGTAACCGCTGTCCCTGAAAGGGTTCATGAGCACATTAAATGAGACGGCCGGGAAGAAACTCAATCATATTTCGGAGCAGAGGCAGCGAGCGCTTCAATGTTATTTATTTTGGCCAATTGGCAAGTGGAGGAGAAAAAATAATAACGTGAATAAAATTCAATCGTGATCCACTGTAAATCTTTGGCCTGACTTGAGGCCGCGCGAGATAAATATGCTCTCTTAGGGCCCCGACGACGCACGTTTACCGAAATTTAGGTTATGCGGCTTATGGTCATCTGAGCGAGGGCAGCGACGGGGTGGCGAGCACGTGTGTCAGGAGTGTGCGCTTGCGTTGGAGCGGTCGCACTCGATGAGCCGCTCTTATGGGGGATCGCATGCTCCGGGGGGGCGGGTCCCACGCCTTCCCTGACACATGTTCATTTGCGCGTGGCTGACGACGCGTGGCGTTGACGGTCGCTACTCACACGTGGAGAGGGGGCACGGGAGAAGGCTCGTAGATGTAGCGACCTTGCGCGTGTCTGTCATCGATGGGCACCGGAGGGTGAAAGGCCGGGAAGAACTGTGGTGCGGCTGTAAAAAAATAAAAACAGACCAAAAAAAAAAAACGTTACGGGTGCTCTTACACCACACCAAAAGAGTGTTCCAGCAACACGTTTGCACAACACGTCTTGTCACGCCCGATTCGCACAGTAGAAACATTTTTAGTGAGCTACTAGACAATTTCTTTGGATACAAAATTCACACAAAATACCCATTTTCCTCAAAATGTCACCGCTCACTTATTACACACACACACACACACACACACACACACACACACACACACACACACACACACACACACACGCACACACACACACACACACACACCTACGATTGCACTCGACACCGCCGTGTTAAAAGCGTGCCTGTGCGTGTCCGTGAGGTGACAGACAAGGTGCGACGAGCCTCCGAACCGCCGGGCAGGTCGGCTCGTCCAACTTGGAAGGAGTTCAAGAGCAACAACAAACGACGACATTCCAGCTTTACTTTAAAACACACAAACACGCGACTTCACTCTCGCATGCCGAGCGCACGTGCGCCGAGCTGCGGCAGCCTGAGGGCAAACGCATGTGTCAACATCTGCATACCTTCGCGCGGCAAGGCTCTGGTGCCATCTGTGCGCTTGTGTTTTTTTTTGGGGGGGGGGATTTTTTTTTTTTTTTATTTTGTTGGCAATGGAAAACATCTGGCGGCACGCGGCACCATGGCAGGTGGCCGAGCGCTCAACAAGCGAGGCTTTATAAGGACGAGGAGAAGAAGGAGAAGGTAGGAGGAGGCGCGCGCGCGCGCTCGGGTCGGTTGACCTCATCGCTGGACTATTTCACGAGATCCTGCGCCACTCACAAAATGTACCGCACGCGCACCAAAAAAAATCATTCGGACGGAAGCAAAGTCTTTCTCCAGTAAGCCGAACTTTGAAAGCCTAACTTGGAATCCTTGTTTGAAGGCCGAAACCCGAACTGGACTGCGTTACCCAGAATGCCTCCAAGTATTTGTTCCTCCTTCCGTCCTGCGGCTGCGGCCCGTGTGGTTTACTCGAGCGGGCTCCCAAGTTGACTTAAGCCGAGCTCTGTCTAAACACAGCCCGGGCTGCCTCTTTCACACCGGCGCGGCCTTCCATTAGTGAGGCAAACAGCCGCGTGTCACCGGGGGGAATGTACACACTCAAGGGTGGGGGCAAAGTGGTGTGGTGGTGAGTGGGTAG